AATAATAAAAAAGATCGATGTTTCTGTTGCGGTTTACCCTAGTTCAGCTGATCCCACGTTTATATGGTGTGAAAAAAGAAACGTTTTTTTGTCTTTCATAATTTGTTATTCATTTCTTATGACATGTTAAATAAACTGACGATACTAAGATTTCTAAATGAAATACCGGTATAAAAAGTAAATTAAAATAAAAGTTATCTAAAAGTTCAGAAGAAGATAAAGAAAATATGGCATTTTTAAAATTAATTTGCAAGTTTTTGTGAATTAAATAAGACGATTATATATGATAGAAATGGACTCGTATGATGTGCTATATATTTAGATTATACAGAATCTATTTTAGTCCGATTGTGTAGGAAGCTGAAAGCCAATAAACACACTCTGAAATTAGGAAATTCGTAAACAAGTTTGATTCGTATAGGTTATTTTTGTTAGAGAAACAAATTACTTTCATGACTTTATGATTTCAAAAGCAAAACATTATATTATAATAGAAGATAAAGAAAAACTAGTCTTTTCCGTGAGACAATAAGTTATGTATAGGTTAGTGTTCTATGAAATTATTGGCCAAGAGTGCCGCAGGCAATCGACCAATTATTTTATTAATGCGTATTATTAAACATTAACCTATTTAATGATCAACATTATTTTCCAACCAAAAAAAACAAAAAAACAAGGCATTTCTCTAAAGTGCCGAAAGCCCTGTCCTTTCGCACCTGCATGACTCTACAAGATTTCTACAACTAGTCAACATGTCACGTTTAGATAAGCTAAGTAAATGGCCATTTCAACATATAATCAGGCACAATTTTTACTGAAATGTCTAAGATTGCCCAGAATTTATACCTTTCTCTTCAGTAATACTATCATTTTTCTATAAAATGTGTGAATAAAAAAGCGGGAAAATAATGCAATTAGCTAAAAACAATGGAGTTAATGAAATGTGTGCATTTTTTAAAATAAATTGAAAATGTGACAAAAATACATTTGAGATTATTAATGGATACAAATTCGTTCTTTGATGCAAGATTTTCACTAACATTTACAACCCCTATTGATTTGTTCTTTTGAAAAACAGATCACTTTTATTATTTTTCTGTGTATCAATTTAGGTCTACAGGTGGAGGGGTTCAATTACAATAAAAAAAATGTTATCATTGTATTTTTAATATCTAGGATTGTTAATGCAGTTCGTTCCTGTTTAATGAAAGAGAATGACGTTTTGCTTACTATTTCAAGAAAATATAAAGTTTAAAACAGCCAGTTAGAAGGATATCAAAAAGTGACTGTGTAATCAATTGTCTTTGCGTGTCACACATGTATTATATATGTAATAAATTTGAATGTATCCTCACATTTAGAAACACATAACCTCACCTAATTTTTTTTCTACGTCGACATAGTTACTCTTTCTCCTCCCTTATGTAGTAATGCATAGACTAGTTAGACAGCTGATTAAGTAAATGTTATTTAGTTAGTACACATTAACCAAGTTGGACTTAGCAGAAATTTGAAAAATACTGCAATGCGATTGGACAAAAAGAATGTTCATCATTAATAAAGAATAAATAATTGTAGATATTGGTGAAGAATTATCCGTTAAGTGCATTAATTCTGACCATGTTACTACATTTTAAAGAGACAACCTCACGTTTGCTGTAACCAAATATTTATGACATACGATGTCTTTCAACGTCAACAGTGTTGTTTATATAGGCGAAATTGCCTCGTGTATATTTGCCCATCAAAACTTTACTTACATAGATAATCATGGTATAACATGAATGTCTTTTATATTGAATACATATAAAATAAGAGCTTACGTCATTGTTAATCAAACAAAAATGTCATTTACAATCTGTCAATTTTTGATACTTCCCCTTTCGTATCGAATGAGAAAAAAGAGTTATGCAATAATATTAAACGGTATGAGCGGTGTTTATCGACTATTTAACTGTTTATCGACTATTTAACAACAGTTTGGAAATATGATGCCAAGGAAATGACCTAGCAGGGTAGAAGGCCTGGGTTACTAAACAACAAATATGTTGTTCTTAAAATAATGTCGATAATATCAATAAGATCGATATTTTTTCGATTCGGGAGATCACTAAAACTTTCTTTAAGCGAATAGTGTTTTAATATTTGTCTGCTCTATTTCAAAACCTACTGTCAATTGGGTAAAGACAAAAATATTGTAAGAACGTTATCGCCATATATTTATTTTTCTAAAACTAATTTGTCTAGTTTTCAAAAATGTAAACTTACGTATTAGAAATGACATCAACCTGATGCATTTTATGACTGCATTGCATGCTTAGGATGATATAATTACGCTGGTAATCATTATGTTAAAATGGCTAATGATTGCATTCGAATTACGCGGCATTAGTGTTTGTGATGGTAATTTAGCATGATCAGAAAAATAAACATACGAAACAGAAAATATATCATTAAAAATGCTTTAAAATTATATATATTTATATTCACATATTTAATCGGACTGTGTACATCTATATGAACATAGATTTAGGGCTTTTTACTATTGGGTTGTTTTGTTTTAATTCTTCAAACCAATCCACTGAAAATTTATAAACTCTCTTTTCAGTCTTAAGATGATAATAAATAAAGCGAATGTACTTTTTTAAGGAATGCTTTTCAATAACTTTTGATAAATTTCTTAATACCAAAGCAATGTTATAAACAAATTTGAATATTTATTGTAAAATACCGTATACAATTTGATATGGAGAAAGGTATCTATTGTTATGTGTTTATGTCTTCCTCTGACTCAAAGATGTTGAAAATGATAGTCAATTAAAACTGTTGTGATTTGTTTATTTTTGTTTTGAATGTTTTATATCTATCGTATTTTGTTAATTTTCAGTCTGCTTTTATTGAAATACACTCATTCCGTCTTAATTGATCTCTTTCCTAGCTTTCTGTATTGATATTATTTTGTAACTGTAATTGATAATGCTTTGTGAAGATTACTTAAATAGATGCTTCACCAGACGCATGGTGAATAAATCTCGAGAATCTCCAAATTAATGAGCTTCGTAAATATATCAGTTTCATCTAATTACACAAATTTTGTTGAGATTTGTCTCTGTAGTTTGATTTTTCAAGATAAAATGCAATTTGAATTTTTTAATTTGGCTCTCTATTCAATAAATGCCGTCTTGGCATTTAAATTACCGGTACCTCGTGCCACACATTACTAAATTTCGTAACAAAGAGCACGTCTAGACAACATCTAACATGATAAAGATGATTAGTTTTACCCGGTAATGAGTCATGCTAATTATGCTGGTTTTTGACAATATGGTATATTGACCACTTAATCTGCTTTCTATTCCTTTTATTCAACGGAAGCAACTGTATAAACAAGGAAATTGTTTCCTTTTACAGCTTGCATGTTTAGTTAATATTACGTATACTAGCTCTAAGGTCATGGAAAGTACACACGAGTGAAAAATAACTAACTTACATAACTTAAAAATTATGGAAAATATTATCAAATTTATTTATTTGATTAAATAGATATACATAATCAAAAACTTGATAAAACTGTTGCGATTTTATGATGACTTTTTCAAAGAAAAACAAAGTAAAATGAATTATGCTAAATCTCAAGTCATAAGGATGTACGAGGAAATAAAAAAGCGATACTTTGGCTAAAGAATCATATATATAACAAATAGTGATTTGAATCTGAATTGGAAAAAAAAAAATGAACAAAGGGTTATTAACAAATGATATGATATTGACACCTGCTTTGCTGAATCAATATCTCTATTAACGATATCACTGTATCGACAGTATGACGCGTGCCTATCTGTCACCGTTAATTACCAGTCTGGTTTAACTTGCTGTCAAACTTTTATTCTTTAATCTTTTGTCATGATCTTTTTTTGTTTTGATTGGAAAATGAATTGTATTTTCTAACGATAAAACTTTCTTATTATAAGCATTGTCAAACAATGCAGAAAAATCGTCAGTTTTAGTTCCTTTTACTCCGCTTCCGTGAAAATTGGCCATCGCCATTTTGTTTTTTGTCCACGGATCATGTGGTTTAAATATAAATAAATCCGCGGTTGTTGTGCCAATACAACTGTATCATACGTCATTGGAAAGAAGAGAAATGTAGCTTTTCATTGGTCAAAATTATTGGTAAAAATGTTAATAAACCACGTGATAGTCATGACGTAAATGTTGCCTATTTTCCGTTCTACTTTCTGTTTCAATGGCTGGATTCTAGTAATTTCCACCAGTATTAGCGTTTTCTAACATCATTTGTTAAAGGATTGAACACAGAGATGTTTTCATGAGGAGCTGCGCTTTATTGCGCCAGTGTCTTAAACAAGCAAGCCCCTGCCGCTGGTTTCCCAATGTAATCGGCCATTTCCGCTAAGACTTTCGGGTCACTTCGGTGTTGACATCGGCCTACTTCGGTGTTGACATCGGCCTATCACGGATATCGCCGAGTATTCATTAGCCCGCAAGTACACTACAACAACAACTTGAACACTTTGAAGGCAATATTCGTTATATAATCGTTATGTGAGTACAACTTTGATCTCATTTGTTATGATTTTACATTTGCCATTTACTCTTATTGTTAATTTTTCATGACATACGGCTTTACAGAGCGAAAATTGAAATTCTGTAAATTATAAATATCTGCATATCCGGACAAAACAGATGTTCGGATAAACTTTGATTTTACAGATAAAAAAGACATCTTACATTCAGACTACACAAAGTATAAATTATACCACAGGATTAGCTTAGGTGTTTGAGATTTTATTGCAAATCTAAAGAATAATAAAACTAATTTTCTAATTAAAGTTGGTAATTATTTATTGATTAATTTTATAAGCATGATGCTGGATATAGTAAGGATTTGAGCAGGCTGTAAAAGTTTATTTACAGACAGTAAGAGTAATATACAATGAAATGCCCAGACAGTGAGAGTGTTATTTTTAGAAGATAAAACTGATTTTTTTCTTATACTTCGTGTGCTTGCAGGTCTCCGGTTGTAGAGAGTGATGTCTGATGACAGTGATCAGGAGCCTTCTCAGCCATTGCTGAAAAGTTACAGGCAAAGACGACATAAACGAGCTAGGGTAGAGCAGGTACAATTAAATCAATTATGTAATTGTTATATGTTATGTATATATCAATATGAAGTTATGCCTATGGTTAATACCCTATAAAGTCATTAAAGGTGTATGCATTAAAATGAATATGTAGAGCTTTTAAAAGATCAATGCATCTGTGTTGGTGTGTTTGTGCGTGCGTGTGTATGTGTATAGTCACTCCACGGCTGACACTGAATGAAGTCACAACTAACCTTTCTAATTTGCTGAAATATATTTTCCTGAATATGTGTTACTGTGTATGAAAGATAATTGTATAATTATCAAGAAAAAACTTCATAATTTGTGAATTGTTTTTTTAAAGTAAAATTTTGTTCTGATGAGAAATAATACATATTTTGCAAAGGTTTATTACATTTTATAAAGTATTTTCCATTATTAAGAATCTCATTCTCAATAAAACCTTGAAAGGTACCAGTCATCTTCTTTAATTGGACATGTTTTTTCAGGTAGGTTCCAGGGTTCTGCCATTGGTTCAATATAAAGTTCGAAAATGACCGAGCCATATACACATATGAGCTCATGCAGGATTATAGCAAGGGAGACTTTGAAATCTTAATTTAAACATGTTAATGGTATTGACTACTTTTTTATCAAATATTTGTATGTTTTAAATTTGGTTTTTCTGTAGAACATTCAATTCAGTTTTTTTTTGTAGAAATGCATACTCAGGACATTTTTATTTGCTGTGTTTTAGTGTTTATCTGTTACACTTATGAGATGATTTTAAAAGTTACTTAGAAAAATATAGTTGTACATGTATTGATATTATTACAGACTGTTTTTACAGTTGTAAATTTTGTTTTTCTTTTAATCTGAAAACATTCTTTGATTGGGCTTTTTTTTCAGGTTCCACGGCTCTGCAAGTTGTTCAACATAAAATTCGAAAATGAACAAACCATTTACTTACATAAGCTCATGGAGAGACTTGGAATTCTTAATTTAGATGTGTTAATGATGTTGACAGAATTTCTTATTATATTAATATACATATAAACGAAATTGTGATATCAGATATGACCTACAGAGATGGGCGTCCTAGGCCATGTTTGGCCTCTTGTATTTAAAATATATTGATATAACTTATAACTTAAAGAGACATATTTGTGATATCAATAATTAGTTATCAGTGCTGTTGAAAAAACAACTATGTGTGTTTTAATGTGTTAACTGAACATTTATATGTTTCATCTGTTATAAGATTTTATCAAATATGGCATTCCAGTTGTAAAAGTCTTGAGCCGATTTAAATTCTATTACTGTTTATAATGACCTTATTTCATTAGTTGAAACACACTAATGGCATATTATGAGTATTTTGCTATCAAAATTATGTGTTAAATTGTGTGTAAAATTGTTTAAACTTCATATATATTCAACTACAGTCATGTAACTTTGTAAAAACTGGCAGTGGCAGAAAAGAAAGAATAATGTGACAATTTCAGAACATAGTTTCTTTTTTGTGTATCATCCTACATTGTTTTTACTTATATTTCTGTTTTTCTCATCAAATAACCTTTAAGATGATGTATAATAATCCACATTTTCTGAAATTTTTTAAAAATGTCTGATATCGTTATCTCTATATCTCTTTTAAACAGTGATCAACTTGCTCTTTTAAATGTCTAATTCGACTCATCAAAGTTGCACATTCTGATCTATGAACATGAAATGTTGCTCCATGTTGTATAGCTTACTGCAAATTATTCCCTTCTTGGATGTGGTTAGTGATAGATTATATCTAGTTGATTCATTTAAAGAAAGTGCCATTCCATGAAAAGCGGCGTATGGTCCCCAATTAAAAAAATGTGTGTGCCCTTAACGAGAAAACAATTGGCGGAACTAAATAAAATGAAATTTTGAAAGGGGGTCAGAGGTTATGAAGCCTGAATATTACAGATAAGACATCAATAGACAAAGTTAAAAAGCAGGCAACATATCCTAAGGGTGATTCAACATTATTAAAGTAGGAATACATACTGGAACCACCCAACAAAGACACGCACGATTTCGAACAAGACTTTTTCAAAAAGGAGATTTAATCATCAGTTTTTGAGTAAAATAGATAAGTACAGAATTCCTAAAGAAAGCCCAACACGGCAAAATTGAAAATGTTGCAGGCTCGGTTTGATTGAGCCTGTTCATGGACGGTACTGGAAAGTGCAAGTTACCGTCCACGCCCCCTAGCACCGGCTTAAGCAGAATTCAACATTTAAACGTGAAATAGTAAAATTTTGAATTTAGAAACATCCGCAGATGTGTTCATACGGCGGTTATCATGGAACCTTCAATGTGACACTTCCGTGCCATTCCATGAAAAGCGGCGTATGGTCCCCAAGTAATAAAAAGCGTGTGCCCTAAACGAGAAAACAATGGGCAGGCCGCCTTTCCTTGTTGATCTTGTTTATCATATTTTAATAATAACAGCATTTTTATTAATACAGCATACACCCTGATATGTACTCCAAAACGGCCCTTTCACTAACCTTCTTTTCTTTGATAAACTTAGTAAAATATGATAAACAAGACCAACAAGGAAAGGCGGCGTTCAATGAACGGCAACCCACACACGATCCAGCGGCAAGGAGTCCAGGAGGACCCCAAACAAGAACAGGACAGGGCATTAGCCACAAAACCTACTTAAGGTAGACCATGGGTAATGGGCACGATAAGGAACTGTAAAATTGACAACATAGGACAGTTATATGTCTTCAAGGTAACCTGTATGCAAAATTTAAATAAAATTTATCGTGTGGTTTATTATTCATTATTATGCTGCTGACCGTTCCAAGGCGGCGCCCCACTGTGTTCCTCAGATGTATGTCTATGTTGTTTCATACTGTTTTGGTAAAACACTTTTGCTTGTGTCCCTGTTTGTTTTCTCGTCTACGGTAAGTATCTTCCCCATTGCCTCTAGTTTTTATTTCTTTGATTACCCCCGCCCCCCCTTCCCCCGGTTTCCTGTCCCCTTCCCCTTTGTGGGCCTATTATTATTTTCTTTGAATTCCTAATCAGTTACAAATTATTTATCAATTAATGATTAACCTGTCCGTGCTCTGTCTTTGCCCTGTCCTGTTTTTGTTTGAGGTCCGCCTGGGCTCCTTGCCATTGGTTCTTGTTGCTGGGTCATATGGGGGTTGCGTTCATTGAACGCCGCCTTTCCTTGTTGATCTTGTTTATCATATTTTATGAGTTATGGATATATTTCTGAACTAAGACTTCCAGGTACTTGTTTGGTGCCTTCTGGGTGTCCTGCTTGGGTGTGTCCGGGGACGGCGTCCTGTGAACGTTGCCTTTGCCTTGTTGATCTTTATTCTTTTTATATTTTGCCATTAGAAGGGCTTATTTTCAGAAATGAGGAAACTTTAAATAATCTGAATACATCATTTTTTTTTATATTTTTGGTTTTTTTTTCGAAAATTTTAACAAAGAAAAAGCTAAATTTTTAATTTTTTGTTGGGCTTTTCTTTAAATTTTATTTTATCATTTATTCAAAAATCCCTAAAAATTTTTTCCCTAATGAGGGGCTGTTTTAAAAATTTGCCTTTATTTTCTTAAAAATATATTTGGTTGATCATCGAAACATAAAATATTGGGGATTATTAGCAAATAAATACCTCAAAAATTATGTAATTTAAATCAAACCCTTTTTTCTTCTATAAGGGATCAGAGAGATACATAAATAATGTTAAAAAGAAAAAAGTTGCCCCTTGTGGGGTTTGAACCCAGGCCACTCAATTTCAATGTAGTTGACAAGTGATTCTAGCCTATTTAAATACTCTTTAAAGGTTAGGTAATGCATTAACCAAGGTCTACCCTAACACGATGTGCAGTTGTGCCCTGTCCTGTTTTTGTTTTGGGGTCCTCCTCGGCTCCTTGCCACTGGCCTTGTTGCTGGGTCTTGTGGGGGTTGCGTTCATTGAACGCCGCCTTTCCTTGTTGATCTTGCTTATCATATTTTCTGGTTTTCTTTCTTCTCGAATTCAGCAGAAGTAAGCTTCCCGGAGGCAAGCTTCAAGCTCCTTATACAAAAATGGAACTAGAGGTTTATCTGACTGAAATTTCTTCAAAAACTCCTGAGCTCAGCTTCTGATATAATAAAGGCTAGTATAGCTGAAGTAAATGGATCAGAGCACAGTTTAACAACAGATTCATATAATTTAGTTCCAGGATTTTTGACTTTAATTTCCAGCATTATCAATGAATTTTGACATATGAGTGAGAATATGCACAGCCCTCTGACATACTTGAATATTTTCTACCCAACGAGATGTAAATATAATGCTGATGGATTCAGGTTTTGTTGTGTCACACTTTCATAATTTTCCCTTCTTGAAGGTACATCTTCTTTCCCTTCTGGAAGGTACATCTTCAAAAAGTGTATACATTGCTGACAACTTGGGTGTTATTCCCCATCCTGTGTCTGTAACAGCAGCTCTGAAAGCGATGTGCACTGTGTGAAGGTCACAAGAACCTTTATCAGAAAGAGACTTTCCAGTGCCTTCCTGAAGTTTTGCCTGTAACTTGTTAAAAGCACACCAATTAACAAAAGGGTAAAAACCCTTTTAAAAAACAACGGGAAAATTTGGGGGGTCTTTGTTTTTTCCAAAAAATTCCCACCCCCCTACCTTTTAAGAATTAAAAAAATTTAAGTTAAGCACCAGTGTTTTCCTGGGGAAAAACTAAATTGTTAAAACCCCGTGTGCCAAAAATATTTAAAAAAAATGGGGGCCCCAAAAGGTCCGGAACAAAAACAAATTTTTTTAAATTTGGGTTTCCTTCAAAAATAAAAAAATTTAAAGGAACTTCAATTTTTAAATTAAAAAATTAACCCAAATTGGGGAAAAAAAATTCCTTTTTTACCCTTGTTTTTCCAAAAAAAAATTTTTTGGAAAAAGTAGGGGGTTTTTTCCAAAGAAATGGCCAAATAAATATTTCTTTCAGCCAAAGGCCCCGGAAAATTTTTTTTTGGGTTTTTGGCAAAATTTAGGGGTCAAAGGAAAAAAATTTTTCCCCCAAGGAAAAAACAATTTTTTTAATTTGTATTTAAAAATTGTTTTGAAATTAAAGCTGAATTTTGGGTGTTCCTTTTAAAAGTTTGGAAACAGTTGGCCAAAAAATTCCAAAAAACTTTTTCTTTTTTTCAAAAAACATAATTCTTTTGGGGATTATAGTCAGAAAAACAGCAAAGGGGGTTTTAAATTTTAAAAGGGGATGGTAAAAATACTAAGGATGAAAAGATTACAACTTTTTGGCTGCTAGAGTCTAAATAAAAATGCAAAGTTTTTTTAATGATTTATTTTTATCAAAAGATCTTGTTGTTTTTTCCCCTTTTAGATGTGATCCTTACAGCATTTCTTTCCATTGAAGATGTGTCAAAACAATTGCTTTGCAAAACAATACAAGATGCAGTTGTAGTCAACTGTCAACGTATTAACAAAGTCTTTTAGTCGTCCTCTTCAAATAGTAAAAAAACAGAATCCCTAAAGAAAGCCCAGCAAGGCAAAATTGTAAAAATGTTTTGCAGGCTCGGTTTGATTGAGCCCCTGTTCATGGACGGTCGCTGGAAAGTGCAAGTTAACCGGGTGCCAGCCGCCCCCTAGCACCAGGCTTTAGCAAGAATTTAACATTTTAAACAAAAACTAAAAAAATGGTGAAATTTTGAAATTTAGAAACATCCGCAGATGTGTTTCATACGGCGGTCATCAGTGAAAACCTTCAATGTGACACAGTAGTTGTCGAACATTCCATGAAAAGCTCGCGTATGGTCGCCAAGTAAAGGAATGCGTGTGCCCTAAACGAGAAAACAATGGGCGGAACTAAATAAATTGGTAGCCTGCATATCACAGACGAGACACGCAAAAGAGAAATTTAAAAAAAGCAGGCAACATATCCTAAGGGGTGATTATACAGTATTCAAGTAGGAAAATACTGGAACCCAAACCCGAATTGGGAAAAAAAAAGGGCAAATACCAAGAAACTAAATATACCCTAAAAATGTACCACAA